TTTATTCCATGGTTCCGTGTTAGTCCATCAAATGGGTTGCTCCGTTGAGATCTAACCATGGCGGCCGCCATATTGGATTCAAGTAGTCGCGGGCCTGAAAAGGCCCACGAACAGAAAAACGAAGATTAGCAGGTAAAATAATGTCCGATAACGACGGTAGACCTACCAGTAACTTCACAAGGTATTCACAAACGAAGTAGTTAACAGGTTTCAGCTCAGACGATTATGAAAACGGAAAATATGCAATTTTTGCAGGAGCTCTGCTCAGTGACGTGTACGCACATACATACATACATACATACATACATACATACATACATACATACATACATACATACATACATACAGACAGGGTAACTGCAAAGACTCCCTTTTGTGCTTTGCACACGGGAGTCAAAAAATTGGGAAAACTTCGTCTGTATGACACAGCATTTTCATTGGTTAACGAAAGACGTGACCTGTTAGGTCAATGGAAGTTGTTCAGGTCAAATCATGATGAAAAACACCATGGCGGAAATAGCTTTGTATCGAGAGTTTCCGTACGATCGAAAACATTCCACAACGAAGATAAAGATCTTGCCTTTGATTGTTTTTCTACAGACCCTACCAATTTTTGCACCATAAATTCAGAGGGTATGTAAACCGTATTGTAATAAAATATGTGTATTTTTATGGACATGTTTGTTTCCTCATTGTAAAAAGTGTCCTGGAAATCAGTGACGCATTTTTCCTCAAAAAGACGTACGATAATATTTCTCGACGCTGTGAACGAAAAATGTAATTTGGTAATTTTTCGAGGTTGGGAAGATGGTTACAATTTTAAACCCACTAAAAAAATATAAGCCCACCCTCTATTTTTCCCGATTTTACATGTTCAGGCCCCTGGGCTTATATTCCGGGAAGTACGGTAGTCATTATATAGTAGTGGTCACTGTATAAGGTTGTTTCATTTCATCTGAAAATTATGACTGGCACACATGTTCAGTTAGAGTACTTGTTGCCATGACGTTACCTTCAAAACATTTAACAGAAGAATTTCTAGGAGAAAATAAAAAAACAAAGTATCAATACTTACAGCAGACAATAATCGATTAATGGCTGTAGCTCGTTGTCGCACATCAATGTGTGGCATATCTTCCTGTATAATAGCATCACCGATTCCTTTGGGATCTGACCGACATAATTCAATTATCCTGTTGATTGATCATAATAACTGACTGTATATATATATATATATGTGTGTAATGGTACTATACTAGTCTTTCTTAAAAGGATTCTGAAAATTGTAATACCTAGATGTGTTTTAACCTGCTTCATACATGTACAATGTATGCTTGTATGTACCGGGTACATGTCAGATTTTCAAACTTGCTATGTCCAAATATGCTACACATTGTATGTCCAAATTTGCTAGGTTCAAATGTGCTAGGTTCAAATGATCACAATAACTTGACCATTTAAAGTCAATCCTCATATTTTAAATTTAATTTCTTATATTTCAAACCATATTTCTCATATTTTAAATTTAAATACTGAACTTAATTGCTCATATTTTAACATCTGTTTTGTCGTATTTTAAATTTAACTGCTCATGTTTTTAATTTAAATTATCACATTGTAATAGTTTTAATTATGACCCTAATGAGACACAATAAATCTATTGAAGAAAGTAATTGGCATCACCAATCGGCTTCTAAAGCTGATGGATCTATTCTTTAGATTAAAGTTCAATGATCTTCTGGGATACATATTTTATAAATTTCCACAAAAAAAAAATTCATGCCTTCATGAAATTCAATTTACAGTGAAGGTAGAAAGCTGTACCTTAATTAGTTTATAAACATATTTGTAACAATTTGTAAATACTGATCAACAGCTTTCATTCAAATTCAAATATTTGTATTTAACAATGATTGGCTTCAAGTGATAATAATTTGCATGGTATTCCACAATGCACAGCACAACCAATCAGGGCGTTTCAATGATTTCAAATTTATAAATATTTTGTATTCATAAATACAGATATTGACTTTCCTGCAAGCTCATAGTATTGACATGAGCTCATACTATCAACAAGAGCAACCCATCCCCCTGCAATATTCATAAATATCTATAAATTTAAAGCGCGGTGGTCGGCGTGCTGCGCATGTGCGTCATTTGGGTTGATAAACATTGATTTTCCCATAATCCAATGCACTCTTCAAATGGTAATCACAAGTATGAGAGTTGACCTGGGCACGACTTGCACTGAATACTGCTGGGGACTCTTTTGATACCTTCCAATCACCTAATTAAAGCTTGGAAACGTCTCAGTTTGTACTCCCTGTTCTGCGCAATAGTCAAAGTCATCTTTGTTTATACAAGACCCATGTATCTAGTGCATGCGTGGGACGACGACTACCGCCCTTTAAATTGAAATGATTGGTTCCTACTGACAGATGAAATAACATTGGAACATTTTCAAACTCATTGATTGGCTGGTTGGATTCAACCAGCATTGAAAATTATAAATATTTATGAAGATGAAGGGAGCAGGTTCGTTGTGTTGATAGTATGAGCAGTGACTTTGGCCGTTTTAATTTATTCATGAGTGATTAACAAAATGGTCTCTTTTTCATGTGAATGATACTGATTTTAAAATGAAAACAAGTGGATTTATAAACATTTACAAAGTAAAAGTATATACCCGGTACATGGGTTTGTTGTAAGTTTGCATTTTTTTTTAAAAGTTAATTTTTTGAGGCAGCTACAGTTGGTCGATTTCATATCTACCTGTTTTCCAAATCAGTTGCATCTGTTGGTTCTTGTTTTACGGGCACATTCGAAGCCATGGCTCTATCTGAGATTGTGGGTATTTTAGGACATATGCAGCTCCTCCTCTTCCGTGCGTCGCATGCACTGACCTAACACTGAGATGACATGTGTGTAACCTTTGACCCCGAAATTGTAAAATGGGAGAGAAGAAACAACAAACACATAACATTCAAAATGGCGACTGAAAACGGTGTTGATGTGGTAAGTCTTCAAAAAATAGCAATTTTGCACAATTATTTGGCGCCTTTAATATACGAATTATACCGTATTTGATGTTTTATAATTCACTCTTCTATATTTTACCCTTCAGCTCGACATGGTGTCAGAGGGTTGTCGTCTCCCCGTCTTGATGACCAACTCAGACGAGCGTAAGTTTCATTATTTATGTTGACATTGTTCGCTGTCCTCATTGTGTGTATGTTTGGAATTCACACACATGTTTTGTTCATGGCTACCGTTCCCACATTTCTACCAACATTTGATTAGTTCATTCCTGTGTCGAAGGTAACCTCCCCCAAAATGGTATATTCAATACGGGTAATCAAATTCAGGCTACTAAGGGGTTATCCACTTGTATTCATGGGGGGGGGTGGCAAGCTAGACACCGAAAAAAAAGGCGCAAGGTGTTGATGCAGGTACATGTTCAATGGATAATAAAAATGTACAGAGAAAAAAATGAAAAAACAAATGTATTGGTCAGATTTTCCAGCCACCCGCCATGCGTTGAAATGTTTGACCCTTAACTGGCTGTCTGTTTTTAAGTGTTAAGACAGTGCAAAACGGGACAAAAGCAAAAAAACAACAATAATAATTATTAATTTCTGATTAGAGATGTAGCATGAGAACCCTCCCACTCTACAAAAGTTTTTTCTTTCACTCTGTCTTTTTAAACTGTTTATACATATTAAACAGAAATTATTTAATTTTATATTTCAGAGTCAAGCTCACAAAGTTTCAAAGGTGAGTATACATGTTGGTGTAACCTACAATTTCACAGTTATGTCAAGTGGTATCACAATTGCTAGTCCCCGTTCGGACAGCATTTTTTTTTTTTTTATGCGTTATTTTGGACGTGCTCTGTCAGTTTACATTCAAATTTGGCACTTGCATGTACTTGATACATGTTTGGATGATTGTCCATGACAATTTGTTTCAAAATCTGGTCAAGGATGGCCGATTGACAGCCATCTGACTTTTTGGCCTTACTACTATATTTCCACAATTTATGTACCATTTTCATTTGTATTTGGCACATACATCATACATATCAGTGTGTATCATAATCAGATCAAAGATGGCCGAATAACAGCTGTTTTTATTTTTGGCCATATTACTACTACACTGAACCTGTGTTTTGATGTAAATAAATAATCTATTGAATACGCCACTTGTAACTCAAATTTCAAGGACACGCTCGCGACGACCCCTCTGCTTTAATATGACGAGCACAAAGAGATCTTTCAAAAATTTAATAGGGACTGTGTCATTTTCAATGACTTGTTCATTCACTGTCACATTCTATCAGAAGTTTGAACATCATTACCATGATTGCTCTATTAGTAGTGCATTTGATTATGTAAATTACAGAGGTGTTTATTTAATGAAAATAAGTAATATGTTAATAATTCAGTATAAAGAATAACAATTTTTGGTTTATATGTGCTTCTAACAGAGCAGATACTTTGTGTGATATGTTTACCTCAAAAATCCCACAGCTTACTCATAATGCTATTTTTTTCGTTTCCAGCTATTGCTGAAGTTCTTAGTCGAAAAGATGGACATGGTTCGCCACGATTTTATGTTCACTACATAGACTGTAAGTTTTTTTTTTTGCATTCAGTCACTAGCGTCACTTCTGTTAGATTTGTAGTGTAATATTGGTGTATGTTACAAAAAATAATTCATTCATTCATTTTGATAATATTTGAGTTATGTTTAATTCTCTTTCTTGGGATTGTAATGTTATAATAGTTTTGTGTATTTGATATATAATAAACTAATTTGTTTTCCTATGCATTCTTCCAGTTAATAAAAGACTTGATGAGTGGGTAACGCCAGATAGATTAGATTTAGAAAAACTACAATTTCCCAAAAAAGATAATAAAACCCCAGTCAAAGAAGGCAAATCTATAAGTTCAAGAGCTTCAACGCCAGAAAAAGAGATTCCATTTCAGGTAATGATGATGTAATGTGGTTTATACAACGTGTACCATAAAAACTTCATGACATTTAAATAATATATCAATTTTTACGAATTTTGGTCAAATTTCGCAAAACACTTGATAAGATGCATGATGCATCATTTGTTGTCAAAAAATCATTATTTCCATCAAAAGACAAAGTTTCATGACCAAAAAAAAGAAACAGTTGATATGATAATTGTACAGGCATTGTGCATACTGTGTGGTATTCTTGTAATAATCTTGTATTATCATACATGGAATGTTCATGTTCAGCCATTTCATTTTAGAATGAAACTTTGAAACTAGTTTCACTGTGCATTACAAAACATTACAAAATTTGTAGTTTATAGTTTAGTTTATAGTTTATTTATTGCAAAGCAAAAGGCCATTGGCCCAAAGAGCAAATACAGTTTCACTTAACAGTTGTAACAATAGAGAAAAAAACAACAACATTGGAATAGCTATAATACAGTCCATTTTGTGAACGTCAATTTTTTTACTCGCTACATGATTATGAATGTCACAGTATTATTTTTTGGCAGATTTGCATACTTTCTATCCATCAGAATGACACGTGCATATTTATGTCCTATTTAGTCCCTGTTCAGGCGAAGCCTGAAAGGGAAGTACTAATTTTACTTTCCTTCTCATTTTCAAGTTGTGCAAGTTATCTCTCACATTTTCTCAGAGACTCTGCAGCAGATGTCAATGAAACTTGGCAGGTTGATGAACAAGTCTGTGTTACATATGCACGTAATTTTTTTTCCAGATAAGAAAATCCTAAGTGGGTCTTTTCAAGATTTTCATCCAAAATTACCTCTCTCTACTACACTGACAGCAACTGAGCATGCTCAAAATAATTGATTTTGTTAAATTCAGATTCAGATTCATGAATTCCTGATTTCTGATTCACAAGTTTTACCAAATGTATTTGATCGGTAGTGTATACTTTTCAGCACTCAGTACCAACTTTGCAGAACCTCAAAACCTAATTTCAAAATAGCTTTCTTATCATCGGAAGTCATCTTTTAGGTTATTATTAATATGACCACACACTATCCAAAAAATATGCAAATTAGCTAAATCCAGTTATTTCCTTTGATCTCAGCAACCATTGAGCCGGTTTCGTTCATATTTGGTAGGATTGCACCTTGACACAATTAGATGTGCTTCTGACAGTAATGACCACGCCCTCCCAAAAATATGCAAATTAGATCAATGCAGTTATTTGCTGCTATCTCTTACCACCACCATGTCGATTTTATTCATATTTGGTATAACTCCACCTTGGCACTAGTAGATGTGCTTTTGGCAATAATGACCACACCCTCCCAAAATATGCAAATTAAAACAATGCAGTTATTTGATCTTTGATTTGACCCAGGTCCTGGTAATATACTAAGACCTTAATTAACAAAGAAGTCATGTACATCAAGGTTCACTCGATTTATAAATGCAGTTTCTTGAGCAAGTATACATGTATGACAAATAGTTTTGTTGCACTTACTTAGTAGATTCTGAACATGGGTCAGTGGAAGTTTTTAGTTGTCAGTACAAAAGTAGATTATTACCTGTTGGCAGATGTTCCTTGTACCACTTTATAATCAAATAACGGGGACTGTGACATTCATGTCTTGTAATTTGTGGTCTTGAAAAAACAATTATTTTTACTACCATGTTAGTTTTTTGGTATTTGTTTTTATAGCATCAAAAGATTATCCAGTGATTCAGATAAATACAGTAGTATCTTTATTTTCTTACAGAATGGGGGCATGGGTGGTGGCATGGGTGGTATGAGCAGTATGGGTGGAATGGGCAGTATGGGCGGTATGGGCATGATGAAGACCAAATCAAATGCAGGAAGAAAACGTAAAGTACCAATAGATAGTGAGGTATGTGTAATACAGACCAATGTGTCAGTTCTTGTATCTTTGTGATTTTAATAATGGGGTCATGATTTTTACATGTTTGTGTGAGACGGATCTACTGATAAGTTAAATGGTCCAAAAATGTCTTGATGGTGATATTTTGGTTGAATTTCACTCACAAAGAAGACAAGTCTGTACTGTAAAACCATTTATTTTCACTGATATTTAATTTCATTTAATGTTTTGAGCATATTCACTGTGTTTCAATTTAATGAATTTGGCAAGGAAACAATGAGTTTTATTGTTATTTTTACATGTTCAGATAGATTTAATTTAGCGGATTTTACTTTAAAAATGGGTCCTTGTGCGTACATTATGTTGTATGTATTATTTTAATAACAGAAATGCATATATGCAATTTTCAAATTATCAAATACTACCGAATTCTGCCACAAATTCGCCCATCATGGGGTTCAAAATTTAAAAAAAATGATCATCAAATATTTGTTGGAGACTTATATTTTCATTGAAAAATCCAGCTTCGCCGACTTTCAACGCCGGCAGTTGTAAGACCCAAAACGAAAGAAACTATAGCAGAAGCTAATCTAAATTTTATACATTTTTTTTCTCGCTGGATTAAAAAGTAGACGGCCTAAAATTTCATTACGATGTATCCCAGCGCACCTTTCTCCCAAAAAAATCACATTAATGAACCTTGTGGGCCAAATACAATTACTTTTATTTTATTAGTAACGAAAGTATATTCTAAAAGAAGTAAAATAAAAATGAACACAACTGCATTGCTTAGTAGCAAATGATCTTGGTAGCGCAATCCGGTCATGCTGCATTTCACAATTGTTGATTATTACCTAAAAGAGGTTATAATAACGTACAAAAATTAAATTTGTTGAATAATTTATGAAATGCAAATAAATTTCAACTTATTTCATCGTAAGCAGTGTTCTCCCCAAAGCGTTTTAGCGTAGCGGGGCCGCTACTCCATTATTTATGCCGCTACTCTGAGAGATTGCCCGCTACTCTGTGGCATTTCCTGTTACTCTTTCTTTTAGCTTGTTAATACACGTGCGAATCTGTTAGTCAGCGTCCGGTACTGTGAGCCAAATCAGGTGTGAATGGAAACATGTCAGTGCTTACGCAAAGACAATGGACTAATACAGCTTCGTACTTCGACAATAAACACTTTCGCCCTATTTAATTGGGGTAATAGCGAGTATTTTCTCAGTAGCATATTTGGCTGGAAGAAGCAACGATGTCAAACAGCAGAAATATTACGTTGTGGTTCCGCGTAGAACGCCCTGCTGGGCCCCTGGTTGCGAGCGATAAACCCACCAGCAACGCGGTCACCGGTACCCCTGTCGGCAGTGGTACTAAACGTGTCCAAGATGATGTT